TCACACACACACACACACACACACACACACACACACACACACAAGAATGGCCGTTTATATTGTCTAACCACAGTGCTCGCTTCTGAAATACAAAGAAAAGCGCGTGGTCTTCATCCAGCAAAATTCTATTCGTTACCTATCCTATTCTCGAAAGCTCCTCTAAAGCAGCAGGATCCGCTGTGACAAAAATATAAATGTGTGCCATGCACCAGGGTCTGTGTTTAAATATCGTATGCATCCACAAACGTAAATTTAACGTCATAATCCTTTATTTGCCCGGCACTTAAGCGTCAGACCCTCCTTTCTCACCCGCCTCTCCCTCAGTGTGTGTGCAACAACGGCACTTCGGCGGAACTCACCTGCGGACCCGACCTGCTCACCTGCACCGAATTGACGGACATCCTCACCATGGTCGCCTTCCCCGCTCCGCATTACATACGGTAGGCCTATCGAATCACGCTAGGTTGTGTTTTTTCGTTCTGCATTCCTTTGACGTTCAGCTTTGTTCTTTAAGAATTTCTCTGCTTGTTTTGTTTTCTTATCTTTTATTCATTCAATTTAATAGTATTTGTTATATATCTTATCTATCGTTAGCCATATATCTAATTCATTTTGATAACGGATTATAATACCAGGTTTTGATTTGTTTCACTGTACCTCTCAAACCTTCAGCTTGCGAGTGGACGGGACGCAACTTCAGTGCAAGATCGAGGCTGAGCTGTGGGGGGCGGCGCTAACCTTCGAGGAAGTTCACCTGGTCAACAACCACTTCGACATGGTTGACAATAAAGCCTTCCTTCCCTTCAAGACCACCCTTAAGGTGCTCAACCTCCGTGAGTATCATGTGGTCGGATGGGGAAGTGATTCATCTTCGGCAGATATTTATATATGTATATATATGCTTATTTATAAATATACACATATAGAACTTTTTTTTTCTAAATTGGCAACGAGAATGAACTGGTTGTCGTTGAAAGCGTTCAACAGTGTTCAGAGAACGATATTGGCGAGGCATACTGAGGACCGGCAGTACAACTTCTTTAACGGAGAATGCTTCAACCTGATATGACAGATATTTCACCTTGATAAAAAAAAAAAAAAAAATCAACCTATGCAAATTAAACATATATATGACTTATTTTCAGTACAATCCCATTTGCGAGATTATTCAGAAAATATTTTAGTCTCATCTAATTACCTTAGAAATCGAATAAACCGCAGACCGAACCTAGATAACCAAATAAAGATAAACAAATAAAAATAAACATAAGTAAAGTCAGCCATAGCAAGCCCTCCCCCGACAGAAAGGAACGCCCTACACAACGTCAACTTCCCGACCATGAGCGACCAGCCGTTCCTGGAGACGGTGCTGCTCAGTGACAACGAGATCAACTTCATGCCCGGCTACTCGGCCATGGAGCTGGCCGGCCTGCGCGAACTCAGGGTCGACAGGAATAAACTCTGCCAACTGCAGCCCTACACATTTGCTAGTGAGTCGCGCGCGCGCGCGTGTGTGTGTTTGTGTGTGTGTAT